TCATTTCCATTTTTATTTCCGCTTTCTGGCCCATGTGTGATAACGTCCTAGGTGTCCGACTGCAATCTTCCAAAATTCACCTTGAAAGCAGTTCAGCCCTGAACTCTGTCATTTCTATGTTGTCACAGAGTGTGAATGTTGGGGATGTGAGTCACAAAGGGGATTGGTATAGTTTAGGAAAAGCCCTTCTTGGGCTAAAATTCTGAAATGGAGTTTTGTTAATGGCAACAAACCTTGGACCTTATAATCTTTCATTTAAATGCAAACATAAACCTTATTATTGAGTTTAGATGAATATGCCTAAAAACATAGAGTGTGACTTTGAGAACATAGAAGATAAATCTGTCTTGGTGGTTTTGATACAGGAAGAAAGACAACAGATGGGACAGAGAGTTAGGCTTAGAGAACAATAACAAAAAAAAAACACCCAAAAAAACACAGCCTGGCAAATCTACTTTATATGACTTTTGTAGAATGTGCACAAACAAATGTCATAAGAGTTTGTCCAAACAGTTAGTGGGAAACCTGCTGTAAATACAGGATTTTGAAAATTGATGAGATGATCTCGTGGTGGTCTTGAAAGGAGGTATATAATTGTTATGAGTTGCAATGTCAATTTGCCCCTCTCCTAGCATTGATTTCACTCGGTACAGAAGAGGGGGCCATGTGCTTTGCTGTTCTTTCACTGTCTCCTGTGTCCTATTAGAAGCTTGCCAAGATTCTGACCTTGGAAAAATCATAACTCAGGCTTTGTTTGGGAACAGAATTGAGTGTGTATATATATATATATATATTGTCTCCATTTTCCTTTTCTCCCATCCCCAACAGGGCTGTATTCAGTTATTTTCCTGTATCTGTACACACAGTGAGACACAACTGCAGGGACCTCTGTGAGTCCTTTGTAAACTCTCTGCAGATGATATCTTTGCATTGCATCCAGCTACAGGAAAATAGCTGCAGGATTTTGATCAGAGTAGGATTCTGATCTATGCAACAACCATAAAAGTGACTTATACACTAAACTTATGCCATTGTAAATTCCTGATAGGATACCAATAGAAGTTTCCTTCTAGCCTCGATCAGGTGAAAAAGTTCTCTACTTTTCCAACAAATACCAAAATGCAAACTCCCCCCTCTTTTAAAATCATCATCTTCATTGTAAGATACTGGAATGGCAATTATGAATGCTGAAAACTGGCTGTAACACTACCACCATCACCACCCCATAGGATAGTCTAACCAAACCATTATAATGCAGAATACAGAAGACAGTGTGGTGTAGTGGTTTGACTGTTGGACTTAGACTCTGGAGAACAGGATTCAAATCCCTGTTCAGCCATGAAACCCATTGGGTGACCCTAGACAAATCCCACTCTCTCAGCCTCAGAGGATGGCAATGGTAAACCCTCTCTGAAGAAACTTTCCAAGAAAACCCTGTGATAGGTTCACCTTAATAATAATAATAATAATAATAATAATAATAATAATAATAATAATAATAAAATTTATTTATACCCCTCCCCTCTGAGAACAATTAGGGCGGCTAACCTTAGAGTTGCCATAAGTCAGAAACAACTTGAAGGCACACAACAACAACAACAAACCTGCATTTTACTACTTGGGAACATTTAATTTGAGAATGAAGCTCTCAGAGAGATATTTTTAATAGTGGGGGATACATTCAAAGATGAGGGTATATCAAGAAAAATTAGATTTTTTTTCTCTGAATGACAGTCCTTTCCACTACACCCCACCCATCATCCTCACCTCACAATTACAGTTTCCTTTTGGTTCTTAGATTCTCAAAAGGGCTTTTATGGGTATCATGGCTGGCTATTAGAAAAAAGCTGAAGTGCAGAGCCTTTCAGACTGTAAAGAACTAACTGTACACTTCTTTGGACTGGATCATTTCTGTTCTCTAACTGTGAATACCTTGAAAATATCAGAGACTGTCCATAGTTTTCAAATATGTTAGCTGAACTGGCCTGCATGACTGATGCAATTTTTTAAAAACTAGCATTACATTTAAGTGAGGTATCTCCTTCCCATTTCTTCCAGCACCCTCCCTTTTCACTTTTCTTTCCAAGAGAATCAAATATAGCCTGACATTCAGCAGCCTTTTTAATTAGAAGCTATCTTCTGGTCTCATCAATGCCACAAGTGTTCAAGGGACAAATGACAAAGCCACTAAATAATCTGCTTTGTGTCATCCACTAAATAAATGTAGACATTCTTCTCTAATACTGATTGATTGCTGTACTGATTAGAACATGTTAAACACTAGATACTTGCCAAAGAGAATTGCACATTTGATTATGTTAAGGCTCTACTTTTCAAAAGTTTTTTGTTTGTTTGTTTTTTTTTTTTTTTACAAAAACAGATATTCAGATGGACAGAATTTCAAGAGTGGGAGTTTATGGCTTAAATCCTATTGTTTGTCTCACCTACAGTAAAACTATTGAATCAGTGAGATTTACCTCATCATACAAAAATTAACTGAATGGGTTTCTTCTATTCCAGCCTATATTTCTCCCAATTTGTATTTGGGGAATTTATTAGTCAGCAAACATCTTATGTTTTAAATTGCAAGCCTCTCTGAATCCCAATTTTGTGGGGAAAGTGAGAAGGAGGAGGAGGTGATGAGGTTCAAAAAAAGTGCTGAGATAGTGGTAATATATTTTAAGTTGCAATCTTTTCCACTCTTACCTGGGAAAAAGTTCCTTGAAATCCAGGAGATTGGTAGCATCCTTCACTGAAGATCCTGTGCTGAACAGGAAGTTGGATTCAGTGGCAGCTGTTGGTTTCCATGCCAATGGTGCATTGAAATTCCTCTTGTCTGTTTAGTCCACACTTTAAAGGCTTTCTAAAGTGTTGAACCCTATCACCCAAAGAGATTTAATAGATTCAATCTATGTCCCCTTTAAAGTTCTGATTAAAATCCAGTGCAGATTTTTCACAGCCTGACTGCATGAATGCCACCAGCCCCCATTAGTTGGACTAGAAGACCTGTAAGGTACCTTCCAGTTCCTGAATTCTGGGACTTTACCTCCAGGGAGATATGTGAGAAGCTGTACTACTTTCAAATATGGATGACCAGAATTTAATTTCAGTGAATTTTCTATAAACCTGAACTTGGAAGAGTTACTTTGGGGGGGGGTGCAACTCCCAGGGCCAAATTCTGGAAGTTGTAGTCCAAAAAAGTATATTTTCCAAATTCTGAGACTGAGTTAAGAAACTCCATAGTGCAAAGTGTCCTGATTCAACATACACAGGCCACTGGGAAGAAATAATAGTGCAAGGGCAATACACCAGCACCCAGAAAGCACCTGTGAGAGTCTGTCTAGAGAAATAATAATAATAATAATAATAATAATAATAATAATAATAATAATAATAATAATAATAATAATAATAATAATTTATTTATATCCCACCTTTAGCCTTGGCCATCAAATGTGTTTGTTAAGGAAAAGAAACTAGCAGAGAGTTCAACACAGTTCAAGTGTCAAATAAGCCAAGAAGTCAAAGGTCTGAACTGAAGGTTGGGAAACAGGAATACCAGCCTGGAAGGAGCAGAGTTGCTTCCAGCCTTAGCCTTAGGCAGACTCAGTTCTTAAAAGGACTAGCACCAGCTGGTTCCAAGCAACACTACTCTGATGCTCTTTGGCAAGGATCCTGTTTGAGAGTTATTGTACTGCTCTTCGTTCCATGCACTGAGTTGTTGGAACTGGGGGTTGTGCTGTCTCTCTACTTGTATCTTCTGCCCCAAAAGCTAGAGGTGAGTCCTACCTTTGTCTCTCTTCTGGCTGAGGCTGCTCTTCAACAGAGAGCTGCATAGGTCCTTTCTTCAGACTCCTCCTCTAAGTCCAGATCCTGGTCCATGACACAAAGAGTATGTATGTGTGTTTAATGTTCCACCTTACTGCTTTTAGCCTCCAGAAACTTTAAAAAGCAAATTCAAAAGAATACCCCTTGTTGGCAGGATGAGTCACAACATATCAATTTTGCATCAGTAAAATATCTGATATGTATAGACACACATGTCCCTGGTGGCGCAGTGGTTAAATGCCTGTACTGCAGCCACTGACTCATAGACCACAAGGTTGCGAGTTCAGTACTAGCCAGGGCTCAGGCTAGACTCAGGCCTGCATCCTTCTGAGGTCACTAAAATGAGTACCCAACTGGTAAGCTTACAGTTGTAAACTGCTTAGACATCCCATAGCATGGTATGAAGCAGTATATAAATGAAGCTGCTTTGCTTTGCAAATTGTATCCCTGAAATATGGAGTCTAACTAATGGTCAAGGTCAGGGGTAGGCAACCTTTCCCCTTTAAGGGCCGAGGGACTTCAGCTGCCAGAAGCCTCAGCCATGTTGGCCAATAGTCCCATGTTGGCCAATAGCTCCTGGGATTCTGGGAGCTGAAGTCCCTCGGCCCTTAAAGGGGAAAGGTTGCCTAGCCCTGGTCAAGGTACTTGTATCCTTCATAGTCTTATTGTTGCAAACATACTTTCACTCCAGCTCTGGAAAAATAAACCTTCTCCATCTATTGTTCAATGGTCAGAAGAACTCACTACTTTGGCAACTCATCAGGGTTGTATTTTATAGACAGCTGCTTCAAGAAAATTTGTTTTTGGAAATATGGTCCGATTATATGCCTAGCCCACATCCATATCCTATTTATTTCAGCCCTTATCCACTTTCTTTTTCTTCTTTTTTTCCTTTTCTTTGTTATCATAGTTTTTAAAATCCAATAAAAATGTATTGTGAACAAATGAATTATGATAACAATTAATACTTGGTAGCACCTTGGACATTTTTATCTCATTCTTTAACAATAGCCTTCTGCCCCTGTCTCCTTCTCTAGTTTGGCAGTTCATTCAAACAGGGATGCAATTGTTCAATCAATGAGTAGTTTTAGCAAATTTTCTTCTACTGTGAGAAAATCTTCAAAAAACATTCAGTCTTCAAAGTCTATTTCAATTCAAGATTAATTCTTTCCAAATGTTGCATATGGTTATTTTGTGCAATAACCACAGATATTTTTTCTAGCTGCAACTGGGGACTTATCCTGAGCACCATCATTATTCTGCACAGAAAGAGTGGCATAAGAGCTTATCGCAAAGTTATATAATATGGCTTATCTGATCCATCTTAAAATTTAAATCTTCAAAAAACATTCAATCTTCAAAGTCTATTTCAATTCAAGATTGATTCTTTCCAAATGTTCCATGTGGTTATTTTGTGCAATAACCACAGATATCCTGCATCCTGATATTATCACAAGGATTTAGCCATTGAATCCACTGCCCGGGACCATCCCGGGTCCATCCCCACTCCCAGACTAAGGAAATTGGAATCAGCATGGTACAGCAATTATTGTTGGATAGGACTTGTTTTAATTTGGATGGGAAGGTGAGAGTTCTGGGTTCACATCCCCACTGAGTCATAAAAGTCAGTAGGTGTCCTTCAGCCAGTCATTCTCTCAGTTTGACCTACCATGAAGGGTTGTTATGAAGATAAAAGTAGGGAGGAAGATAAAAGTAGGGAAGAACAAAAATGGGATATAAATGTAACTGGGTTTTTTTAATGGCATGAAATGTGGCATGGGATCTGATTTTACTGGGAGAAATCAACAGAAAGTGAGGAAGTGCCTTCCACATCTTTATATCTGAGCCCATATTGAAGAAAATATTAAAAAGTTTCCAGCATAGGGATTTGCCAACTCCCATACTTCCTCCCAAAAGGCCATGCTGGTTGGGGCTTTTTAAAGTCTAAACTATATGCAAAGCCAAAGGTTCCCCAGCCTGTTCGAGGGATTTAATATAGTGCTGGGGGCAACAAAACCATACAATTCTGTAATGCTCCATGAGCCTGATAACAATTGTTTACATGGGGACTATTTCATCAAGTTAAAATTCAAGAGGTGAGATGTTTCACGGTGACAGATACATTTGTCACTAGACTGGCTTAGAGAACGCACATAAAATGAGGCGTTACACTGATCGCCTCCCTGTAGACTTTAATCAATATATGTGATGACTGAGATTTTTTTAAAAAATGGACTCAATTATCCAGTCATGGGGAGGAGAATTAAAAACAACAACTTCTTGACAAGCTATTTGAAAGTTTTCATGCATCTACTCTATATCCCACTTTTTAGCTTGTTTCTGTGTTGACAGAAACAGAGCTGCAAACAGTTACCTTTTGGGACCACAACACACAGAATCCCCCCAGCCATCACTGCCACTTTCCCAAGCTCTGAAGAGGAATAATGCTACACATCCATTTTATTTGTAAGATTAATTGCTAAGTCAGAGGAGTATTACATGCTTGCAGGA